CAGAAAAAGAAGAATATTGGGAGTAAACTGATGCTGCAGCAGAAAAACTATCAATCCAAGCCTTATCTCCTGCTTTCATTCTTACAACAACCATTTTACTGCATGACATATAGATACCTTGACTATCAGCACAATGGTTGTATGCCCTTCTTTGACCGTTCAAGACTAGAGAGGTTTGCGCATATGTTTTCGAGGGCGATGTTGTTGTCCAGTCAAAAATGTACACTCCCGATTTTGGAGCAATGAAAATCCCCTTCACGGCGTTGTAACCTCCTCCAATATTCAGATCAACATCTCCAAACATCACTTTGTTGCCTTGACTTACTCGTTGGGTATTTCCTTTGGCTTTAGCATCGAATGCTATTATCACTTTTCCTAAAAAACAGAAAAAGGGAAGATCCCATGACATCATGCTAGACACATCTACTAAGTTGTACAAATGTATAATTTAAAGATCTACATTTTTTTCTGTCATACTTTTGTCCCGGTTATTTTTGCAGGGATCTTTTACATAGCCAACAGCCACGCATGTTTTAGCCACACTATCATAGTCATCTCTGAAGGATTTAAGACTGGGCCGGGGCGACACTTTCTCAGTTCTCATGATGCCAAACATTGCTCCGAATCCCACAATAAATACTATGAAATGCATTCTATAAGAAAGATAAGGAATACAACAGCCTTGTGTAATGAGTCTTCATTTTGATGAGGTTCTAATGCATTATTTGCTGTATTTTCTTTTATTTATGATGAGATGGTTTTGCATTATATACCGTGGTTATTTCATAATGATGAGGTGCTTGTACATTATATGCAGTGGTCTCTTCATTTTGAAAAGGAATTGTTGCATTACATGCGGCATCTCATCATAATGAAAAATTCAAAAGTACCTCATTATTATAACATAACTACGGCTAATAATGTAGAACCATCTCATCAAAATGAAATAGCTATAGCATGTATGTATAACGTAAATCTGCTTTACCATGACAGAGAAACAGCAGTATATAATGTAAAAGCACCTCATCATAATAAAATAACCCCGGCATATAATGTAAACCCACTTTATCATAATGATATAACCACAGCATGTAAAAGGTGTAGAGAATAAACAGTGATCAATCTGATAAATTCTGTAAAGAAAACGAATTGTGAACAGATAAAAAACTGGACATCTTGAAACACAGTAGGTTACCCGGGTTTACAAATTTGGCGTTTTCAGAGAATGATCTTTCGTATCGAATCAGTTTGGAGACTTAAACACAATATGCAAGAGATGTTGGAATATTGCTACATAAAGAAGGGAAGTTGACGTAGGAAAGCTGAAGTCATTCCATTTGTCCTACTGTTTAGTTATTAGTTGGCCACTATCGTCTATAGTCAGCAAAACATCCAAATAGGAAACAGATGTGGCAGATTCTGTAGTGTCTTTTTTGTCGAGTTGATATAGTAATGAAAGTAATTACTGTTAATTGATAAAAGGTCGTCGATATACTTACATGTAAGTGTTGAGCTGAAGGCCTCAGCAATTTTCTTTTTTTCATTAAAAAGGTTTTTGGATAAATTCTGCCTCAAAGGAATATAAGAACAGGTCGTTTAATAAAGAAGCAGAGTTAGTGCCCATCCGCGCAGGTGATAAAGGCTAGGTATAGGCATTTCTATGCAAGCTATGCAAATAAACTAATTAAAATGCCTAAAGACTATATCTATTATACAGAGATAGTTAAAACTTATTGTCTAATACATACTTGGTACCCACGATATGAGATAGCCAGTACACATTATGACGTCATTGTTCTATACTACACAAGATTATATTGAACATTAACAAAAATGCTTCGGCGCAAGGGCATACTCTATTTTATTTAACTTAAAGAGTTTTTATCACGTTTCAAAATTTTTTGATATGACAAAGTTTACATGCTATTAAAATCAAAGATTTAAAAATCTTTGCTAGAAAATTAATATTTTTGATGTTTCAGCGATTCAAAGTTTGAATTTCTCAATATGCATATTTTGACCGCCGATGTTACGCGCCATTGCTCTGACGTCATAGGTGTCAATCCTGGTCAAGCGAAGTACTTATTGTGTATACAAAACGGCTCATTTGTTGTGTCTTTCAAACTTGTTAGAAAATAATTAAGTGATAATTGAATAATTGACAACTTGTAAGGTATAATTTATGGCTTTATGGTGCACAAATGTGCACAAGAAAGGTTTTAGGAAGAATTGTTCCCCACATTTCCTGGACTTGATCGAGAGATAAAAGGGGGGCCTTTCTCTGCAAATGCGATGGCGTTTATCTTCATTCAGAACAATCGTTTATGCCCGATCGATTACGATTTTTTTCTTCTGTCCTATAAAATATTTTAAGAAAAGATATTTTTTAAAAAAAATAATAAATGACAAACACGCATTTTTAATCTAGTAGGAATGTTGTGAACTTCGTAATGGCGTACGGCGCCATTGAAGAAGTGTCATTTCTAGTACATGTTATGCACTGCTAGAACAGATAGAAGATATACAGGATTTATTTATTTATAATTAATTAAAATAATAATGAAGAGGAATTTAACATTCCCATATTTATAAATGTTTACGAAGTTAAACTTTAGTAATTCGTTCTATTTAGTTGAAGTCCCGAGTTGTCAACGGTTTCGTCTTCGGTGCCCTCTCTCCAATTGTTGGCATATTTTCGAGTTTTTTCTCTCTGCTAGACGTTCATACTTAAAAGATTGACCGTCCATAACCAAAGGAATATAGTCTATGTCATAATTTCAACCGGCCATACTGTGTATTCTATTTATTTAGCGCAAAAATCTATTCAATATATTTTTTTCTTACGATAAGCTTTACGAGTTCTATTGACCATTGACACCTATGACGTTTCAGTACCACGTGACCCCTATCTAATTAGTGGAGATTTTTACTTCGAGGACCCTATATTACGGGCGTTTAATCGTCTAATTACGGCCGTTTTCAACATTATTTCATAATTAAACAATAATGATATGTTTCAAGAATATAATAGTGTTTCATTTTTAAGAAATTTAGATACGTGATAAAAACCCTTTAAACAAGGAATATTTAGAAGCAAAATATTCTAAAGATTGCTGATATTGCTGTACAAATAACAACAGCTGATTAGTTGTTTAATTACTATTTGTAAATTTTTCAGTTGAATCAGAGTAAAAATGTACAGTCTGGTTTAAGTTTCCTCCAATTCCGATCAAATGATAAAATGCCTAGGATTTCTGCAGCAGTTTTATTATTCTAAAGAATATTTTTCTTAGCATTAGACAATTTTTATGTAAAATTAAATAAGGCAATTCCTTGCGCCGAAGCTGTTTTATTGATGTGTTTTATTACCACCAATAGGTAAGAACAATGACGTCATGATGTGTACCGGCTATAACATATCGTGGGCACTAAGTATGTTTAAGAAAATAAATCAAAATTTTCTCTGAAGAATAATAATACCTCTTATGCGTTTTTATTAGCTCATTTGCATAGAAATGCCTATACGTATCCTTAACGCACATGCGCGGAATTTCTACAAATTCTTAGAAAATCTGGTCTCCAAAGTCTACGTAGATATTGACATTATGGAACTCAAGCATCTTCAGAGTATTTGTATGTAAAATCAGGATAACTTTTATCAAAGTAATTCTGTAAATGAAAAATTGCAGAATACAAAAATTACAATTTTCCTTTTTAGCTCACCTGAGCCGAAGGCTCAAGTGAGCTTTTCTGATCACATTTTGTCTGTAGTCCGTCTGTCCGTCTGTCCGTCTCTCTGTCCGTCTGTCCGTCTGTAAACTTTTCACATTTTCGACTTCTTCTCAAGAACCACTGGGCCAATTTCAACCAAACTTGCCACAAAGTATCCTTGGGTAAAGGGGATTCAAGTGAAGGGCCACGCCCTCTTCCAAGGGGAGATAATTAAGAATTCGTGAAAAATTAATGGCATCATTAAAAAATCTTCTTCTCAAGAACCACTGTGCTTGAAAACATGAAACTTATGTGGAAGCATCCTCAGTGTACTGACTCATTGTTTTTATTCAGCATCAACGTAGTAAAAGACTGTAAATTACAAAAAAGGTTATAAGAAATTACATACAAAATGATCGACTTAAAACATTGACTCTATTATGCTACATTTATGACCAAACCGGGTTTCCATACTTTTTTCTTTTAATAGCAATCAACTTATAAGCAATAAAACTGGCATGTAATAATAACTCAGCAAGAAATCAACAAATTATCCTTACAAATTCACATATACAAGTATAACATAGTGACTAGATTGTATAAATCTCAGAAAATGATTTGAACACAAACCACGTGCTTAGCCATACACAAAAAACCAGGTCATGTTAACCATGCGTAGATAATGCTTTAAATTACTGAAATATTTGACAATAAAGGTTTGCGTTCTAACACATGAAGATTAAGATCTTATGTTTATAATTTATGAAAGTGTACTTACGCTATAGGGCTACAAAGTCACAAAATCTAGTAACACTTTTGCACATGTACAAATATGGCGCTTGCCAAAACTACGGGAAGTAACTCTTCTAACAAACAAAACAAAAAGTTAACTCATACATAGTTGATTCGGAGACATTACACTCCCCGCCTAATGTCTGAAAGATATTACAATTTACAAAGACATTCTTAAGCAATGTTTTCAAATGTTTGTCTTAATCAATCAAGATAACAAGTTCTGTAATAGGGCGGATATATTTTGTTGGCTTACCATCCTTGATAATGCGCACCTCAACTGTTCTTACTCTGTGGTCACTCTCACTTTTAAAGACATTCACAATCAGTCCAAGTGGCCACTGTCCACGGTGGGCTTCTTTGTCGCGCAAAAGAACAACATCACCAACCTTTACATCAGGACGTTCAGTCTGCCATTTACGTCGCATTTGGAGTTGCTGGAGGTAACCGTTCCTCCAATGCTTCCAGAAGATATCCGACAGGCACCGCACATGTTTTCACTGTTTCCTGTATATTTCCTTCATGTCAGATGAGCTAACAGGATGAATATCAGGAAATTCCTTCTGAGTAAGTAACATCGAAGGGCTGATAATCTGTGGATTTTCTGGATCAGATGATATTGGGCAAATGGGTCTTGAATTTACAATGGCACAAACTTCGCACATAAATGTGCACAAGACTTCATGAGTGAGTTGTTTTGTGTTCGCATTTAGTAACATTGAGTTCAGTATTTTTCGTGACACTCCAATCATCCTTTCCCAGGTTCCGCCCTGGTGTGACGCATGTGGGGGGTTGAAAGTCCAAGTTATCCTATTCTCAAGAAGATAATTGTGAATAGGTCCCTTTTCAGTGTAGACAGCTTCAGCCTTTATGTCATCAAGGGCTCCTAAGAAGTTGGTTCCTCTATCGGAACGGATTTCCTTCAAAGGTCCACGAATAGAGATGAATCGGCGTAAGGCATTAATAAATGATGAGCTGCTCATCTCCTCAATGATCTCGATGTGTATTGCTCTTGTTTTCATACAAGTAAAAAGCACAGCCCATCTTTTGCTGTGGGAAAGGCCCCCTCTAGTTCGTCGTGCCACTACTGGCCACGGCCCAAATACATCGACCCCTACTGAACTGAATGGAGGTCCAAATGTAACTCGGTCAGGTGGTAAGTCCGCCATCTGTTGAAATTCTAACTTCCCTCAAAGTTTCCTGCACACTACACATTTGTACAAGATGGAATTAACAAGGCGCTTACATCCGATAATCCAAAAGCCATTGGATCTCACTGTACCTTCCGTGATGAGTCTACCCTGATGATACACTTTCTCGTGCAGATGAGTAATGAGAAGTCTGGCAATGTGGGATTTTCCTGGAAGAATGACAGGATTTCTTTCATCTATAGTGAAGGGTGCTTTGTTTAGACGTCCACCAACACGTAAAATTCCTTTATTATCTACAAAAGGATGAAGAGCAATGATATTGCTTTTCAAGGGAAGTGGTTTCTTCTCCTGTAAACACTTCATATCATCTCCATACCAGAATCTCTGAGTCTCCCTGATAATGAAACGTTCTGCTTCCTGAGTATCTTCAATACTGTGCAAAGAAAACTCAGCTTTTCTTCTGCAAAATCTCTTTAGATATGAGACTGCATTCACCAATCTTGTCCAAGAGGAGAACTTCTCAAATCTATCCACTAAATGTTCCTTCACCTCTGTTTTCTTGACACAAACTATGGGTCGTATTTCTGTATCTGCATCTGGATTGACTAAGGGGAAGCTTTTGTCCTCTACCTTCTCTACAGACCTCAGTTGTATCGGTCCTCTGAGCCAATCGCTTTGAGACATGTCCTCAACAGATGTGTAACACCTAGTTCCAATGTCAGCTGGATTGTCCTGTGTGGAAACAAAGGTCCACTGCTCTGGTTTAGATCGCCTGTGTATCATGTTGATCCGGTTGCTGACATAATTGTAGAATCGACGAGATCGGTTATGTAGGTATCCTAAAACGACCCTGCTGTCTGTATAGTATTTTGCAGAATCTTGATTTAAGGACATTGGCAAGGTTCCTGGTTATTGTATAGAATTTTTCAAGAACTTTTGAGTAGGTTTAAATGTACTAAATAGGCTATATTCTGGATCGTTTTACCTACCAATCCAGCATTCTTTTTTAGATTTTGTCAAATTAGTGTTTTTACAATTCTTAATGCATTTCCTATGTAAAATGTTGATAAAAGGGACCTACATAATTTTTTACCATAATATTTCTTCAAAACCCATTTATTTCATACAGTTTTTGTATTATATACATTATTGTAACTTCATTTCCTATGACTTCTAGATATTTTGGTTGAAAATGTATATATAGAAGAAAGACATGGATACACCGGCACCGATCATCATTTTTGAGTTGCGTCCCTTAACAGCTAAAATTGGTCAAGTGACTGGTTGGTTGTTTTTATCATGTAATTGACTGAATTGATTGAAACACGTTGTCATAAAAATATTGGCATGGATTTATTTTTAACTTTTATTCGTAATTACTAAATGCTGATTCCTTCACACGACCTAAGAACTGTTCTCAGTCGGCATGGTCGACCTACCTTTCAGCATATGTCACATCTTTGCCCTTCCCAGCATACTGAGCATAACTATGGTAAATGACGACCTGTTTGCTCTTTGTCCCTGAATACAATGTACAACAAAGCCATTACTACTTTTCAATCTTGCTGTATAGATGATTCTACCCGTTGAAGGAAGTGCACGTGCTTTTGTTTACCTCTATAACATACGCTTTACTGGTTTTCACCGCTTAGAGAATTCTACACGGGAGATCACTCTCAATCACTATTTTACAAGTGAAAAAACCCATGTATTAAACCTTTTTTCTCCGGATAGCCCTGACTTGCCAATGTCCTTAAGTCAAGCTGTTGGAATACTGTCTGAGCTAGTTCCGTGGCTAGAAGAGCAGCACAAAGCTCAAGGCGTGGAATAGTATTTCCTTGTTTAGGTGCTATTCTCGACTTCCCAATGACAAATCCAATATTGACTTCACCTAAATCATCAATTGTCTGTAAGTACACAACCGCAGAAATTGCCTTTTCGGAGGCGTCTGAGTAAACATGAACTTTGCTTGAGGAAGCAGAACTCAAGGACACTGGAGTATACATCCTCGGAATGCGCAGATTCTCCAAGGCATGTAGAGATTGCTTCCATGTAGTCCATTCTTCTTCACGATCATTGGGTAGAGGTTCGTCCCAGTCATCATTGTCCTCACATATCTCCCTGTAAAGTATCCTACCATGTATGACTATAGGTGCGATAAACCCAAGAGGATCAAATAAACTGTTAATTATGGACAGAAGACCTCTTTTTGTAAACGGTTTTTCTGGGATGCGTGCACTGAAATTCAAACTATCTGAATTGATGTCCCATGCTAAGCCAAGGCTCTGTTGGATTGGTAACTCATCAGCCGCAATGTCGAGCGACTTCAGATTCTTTTCTAAATCTTCCGCGGGAAAAGCCTCCATTACTTCAACGCTGTTCGATGCTATCTTGTGAAGTCTGATCTTGGCTTCGTCCTTCAGCACTTGTTGCGTTTTTCGAAGCAGATTTATGGCTTCGTCACTTGATCCCACAGACATGAGCCCGTCATCAACATAAAAATTTTGGGTAACATAATTCTGTACCTCAACTTCCGCTTTTTCAACTGTCTTGCGTAAGCCATATGTTGCTACCGCCGGCGAGGGTGTATTCCCAAACACATGCACCCGCATTCGGTATTCGATTAAATCTTCACACGGTTCATTGTTTCTGTGCCAGAAGAAACGTAGAAAATCTCTATGGTCCTCTCGGACCAGGAATGAATAAAACATCTGTTCTACATCTGCCATAAAGGCCACTCTGTTCATACGGAAGCGCATAAGGACTCCCAGTAGTTCATTGGTCAGGTTTGGTCCTGATAGCAGTACTCCATTGAGGGATAGGCCCTTGTATTTAACGGACGAATCAAATACACCGCGTATTTTGTCAGGCTTCCGCGGGTGATAAACTCCAAAGAGAGGTAAGTAAAAGCATTCTTTCCCTGCAGGCAAAGGCGGAGCCACCTCCATTGCACCACTGTCTATGAGTCCTCTCATGAAAGTCACAAGATGTTCTTTTTTCACTGAGTTCCTCTCAAGACTAGCATCCAACATGTGGGCCCTCTTCAAAGCTTGAAGTCGGTTGTTTTCCAAGACTGGCCTTGGTTTTCTAAACGGTAATGGAGCTTTCCACTTTCTTTCTCAAAACCTTCTTCCATGATCTGCAGGAATTGACGAGCATCTACAGAGAGGCCAACTTGGTCATCGTCCGCTGATATTTGGAAAATGTCTTTCTTTATCACATCCTGGTGTGGCACAATGCCCTCTGTCAGGCGGAAACTGTTTTGAAAATGGACTGACGGCCATCTTCAATCACTGTAGTTTTGTAGACAGTGACACCTTGTGGCTTGTGTAATCTGCCAAGGCACACATCTCCTATCACTACCCAACCAAGACTCAACTTCTGTGCAAAGGGTGAGTCCTTAGGTCCTACTCGCTGATCATGTATATGATGTGCTTGTATCAAGTCTCTACCAATCAGTAAAAGTATTTTGGCATCTGTGTCAAGTAGAGGTAATGATAGATCCCTAAGATGCGGGTGGTGTTTGACGACTTCTGGAGTCGGTATCTCGTGTCGCTCATCTGGAATCTCATTGCACTCTGTAATAGTAGGAAGTTCCATTACAATGGATCCATCGACTGCAGCTATCATCAAATCAGAGGCTCTGCGACCGCTTGAGTGAATGCGTCCAGCACATGAGGTAAGCGTAAATGAATGAATTTGACTATTGGGAACATCCATATAGTCGAACAGCTCAGATCTTCCAAGTGTTGTATTTCTCTGATCGTCAACAAGAGCATAAAGGCGCAGACGTTTTGAAGGTCTTCCCTTCGGATACACATCCACCAAGACGGCCTTTGCACATGAACGTCCAGAAAACTGTTCTCCACACACAGCTGTACATTTTGTGAGAATATTACCTTCCTCCCCGCCATGCTGTCTCTGGCCCTGAGAGCTCTCAGGCGGATGAAGAGCAGTGGGGTGCTGCTCACTTCCACAATCCTCACATTTCACTTCTGCGTGACAGGCTTTGAATCTGTGTGTGTCCGATTCACAACATCTATAGCACAAGTTATGCTCTCGCAGGTATTGTTTACGATCACGAATGGATTTTTTCCTGAATGCCCTACACTGGTTTAATGTGTGCTCAGCATCGTGAATAGGGCATCTCTTCTGTGTCACCTTATGGTCTCTTGTTGACTCTTTAAAATCAGTCTTCTTAACAGTCACAGATTTTACTGGTTTGAAGTTATGCTGGTTGAATCTTGGGGTTTTCGGGTCTCGATTTTCTTTGGCGAAAGTTGGAGCTACTTGTAGGCCAGGATCATTCATCATGGTTGAAACTTCCTTTACAAAGTCACAGAAGACACTAAATGGAGGGTATGGGACCCCATGAATCAGCTTATACTTTGAAGCTTTAGAAGTCCATTTGTTTTGCAAACTGGGTGTTAACTTTTGTACTATTGGAAGCACTCCCACTGATGTGTCAAAGTAACTGAAAAGTTGGCTGTACCTTGGGTTTTCTTTTAAGGCAAATATTTCACTTAAGATATCTGAGAGTTCATACAGTCGTCTAGGTTCACTTGCACTGAGTCGCTGGAAGCTTGCAAGTTTGGACTTTAATGCTGTTTCAACTAATTCCGGTGAACCGTATCTTTCCTCTAATCTAGCCCATAAGGTCTGGCATCCTTGAGAGGGATTCCCTACTGTTGCTGCTCTGATGCTTTTAGCATGTTCCTTGGACTCAGGGCCGAGCCATCTGATCAATAAGTCTAATTCTTCGAGAGGTGTAACTAATGCATCCTGAACCACAGATTTGAAACTTGCCTTCCATGCTACAAAGTTCTCTGGCTTGTCATCAAAATTAACAAGTCTTGTAAGCATCAGATCCTTTTTCAACATAAAGCTTGCTAGATTGACTAGGTTGTCTTTCTGTGATTCAAAGGGTCGAGCCTCAGGATTAAATGAAAATGATGGTTCACAAATTGGAGAGTGAGTAGCAGTATTGTTTGCTGCTGAAACTTTCGGTTGGGTGTATT